TGAATGGGCTCTGGGACCTGACTCCCAGGGTTGAAATCCTGGTACTGCCATTTGATTAGTTGTGAGACATTGGGGATATGTTAACCTGCTTGCACCTCAATTTTGTGCCCTTGCCTCCCTGCTGTCCCTGCAGATACCACCTACTTCCTGCTCACCTCAGGCTATCAGCTCCCGATAATAGGGGGTCTCATTGCATTCTCATCACATTGACATAAATGATTAATTATACACAGAAGTAATGCTCCTCTGGGTTACCCAGGTGATCATGTTACTGGGAGCATTTCAGGAGAGAATTTGAAGGAAGAGTTATGATGATTCCTGAACCACTCATTTATTCATTTCACTAAAGAAATATTTATTGAGAACCTGTAATGTCCCACGAACTATTCTTGATGGTGGAGATAAGATAGTGAACTGCCATTTGCATGAAACTTTATTCTAGAGGAAAAAATGAACAAAATTTTCTGTAAAATGGGGATAATAACTGGACCTTCCTCATAGAGTTGGTGTGAGCATTAAGTGAGAGTAAGTGAACCTGTCTCTTGGGGTTGGCATGAGTATTACATGAGTTAATGTGTGTGAAGTGCTTAGAACAACGCCTATGGCACAGTAAGCTTCCAAAATGATGACAATGATAAGTCCATGAACTCACAAAGGAAACTCACAAAGAGCCACAATTCCTACCATTGACCTTGCCTTTGTAAAAAATCTTATACCCATTTTCCTGCCTATGACACCACCTTCAAACTGTTTTTGGTGTGGAGAATCAAAATCTATCACTTTCCCAAAACCTCCTGTGACTCTACTTTTTGTTGACGAGAGAATGAAGTTCCTTGGTGGGGCACTCAAGACTCTCTCCAATTTGTCCTCAACTATAGATTGATGATTTTTATGGTTACAAGTGACAGAAAGCAATTTGGACTGGCTAAACATTGGGAGGATGTGTAGTCTCCTCCATCATGGCAACATCTAAGTGTATAAATGTGCTGGTCTCTCTTGGTGGTAAGCACTCTCCTCAGAGAGACTCAGAAATTCCAGGCTTACGTTATCCTCACAGCTAGTGATCTTATGGAAAGAGATTGACTCTTCCCTAAAATTCCGACAAAATTCTTGGGATTTAGTCTTGGCACATTGGTTGACTTGAATTCTGTGCTCAGCTCTAAACGAATCACTCCATCCAGGAAGATGAAGGTGGTGATTGGTCAAGCCATGATCACAGGCCCCACTCTGAATCCAGCAGTGGGGTCAACTCTGCTTTTCAGATACTAAGAATAGATGGGCTTCCCCAAGGGAAAAGAGTTACTATGATGAAGAGAATAGAGAATGAATACTGAGTAAGCAAAAGTAACAGATGTCCACCACAACCTATCCTTCCTGCATTACTTGTTCTTTGAACACATGCTGCAATTTTCTATTTCCTGCCCTTGTACGTGATGTTTTTCTTTGCTTAAAATATCTATCTGACACCTCCACCTACCAAAAGTTCAAAGTCCATTTTAAACGATACTCCCTTTATGTAACCTACTTTTAGACAACCATAAATTACTACCTTTATTACAGTCCTTGTCATCATCCAACTTGTATTATATTACATTGTGTATGTCCCTTTCTTCTCTTATTGGATTGTAAACTCCTTAAGGGAGATAATCATGGCTCATGCAGCATTGTACACTTGCACTTTATTTGGAGATCAGTGAATATCCTCCACCATGTGAAAAACTTTGAGTTGGCTGTAGGATATCATAATAAAGTTAGTTGTGGTTATCATCATTATTTTCTAGTACCATGTCTTCCACAATGCAATTTTTAAATAAATATTTGAGTGATTTCTTAGAATATCTAAGTATAATGAGAAGTGATTTTGAGCAGTCTTCATATTCATTCTACATCTTTCTAAACCCAAGATTAACGTTATTCAGGTGCAGAAATGTGCCTTCTTTCAAGACGCTCCAGGCATCTGGGCCAAGCAAACAGAGCTGTGAGTTTATTTTTTGTCTGCATTTAGATTAGGCTCTTTGGCATTGCTTTAGTTTTATTCCTTAGCAACCTTTTACATTTTAATTATCTCTTATATCTTATTGACCTAAATCAAAGGCAGAGCTTCAAGTTTTTAAAGAGTCTTTCTAAGGCCAGTGAGTACATATTTACTTGCCCGTGGATGGTTTGACAGCCTCTAGTAAGCATACCTGGTACTAGCCAGCACTGGTCCCCCAGTACTAACCAGGCCTGTGAGCTCGGCTGGACCCTGGTGGCTTTGCCTTCCTTCATTTATATTTTCAGAGACTGTAGCCCATTCACCAACTTTGCAAATGAGTATCACTGCAGACAGAAAGGTTGGCCTCTGGCAAAGCTTGATGTGGGCTACCACTCTTCCCCTGTCTTCCATTTTCCCCCATTTTGTATACTCCCTTGCTTTCCCAAGAGATGCACACCGTATACCACCCTCTGGCTGCTTGGGGTTTCATTCTGGGAATCCCATCTGGATCTATGTTTTCTCCCCTCTCTCTGTTTCCTCCTCTTCTGTTCATAACGATGCCACTTGGCAACCCTTTGGGGTCAATCATCTTTTATTAGATTAGTTATTAGTTATAATCAATGAGCTATAGTTATTCATGACTTGATGCATCAACCCTTCTAGATCACACATTTAATTCACACTTCTTAGTGGGATGGCTAGAAACAATTCTCAGCTCAAAGAAAAGGCAACCGCAGAATGAGTCTCAGGTCACAGAGCCGCTGTGGGAAAGGCCTGGAGACGACTGAGAGTTGGAGGAGGACAGGGTGAGGCACACATTTAGCAGTGCTTTTTGGCAAACAGAACACCCTTGAAAAGAGCAGGCAAAAAATATCGAGAGACTGAAGCAGAAGCAGAATATACCCATCAATACTTACACAGGAAACTCCTTGAAATCATGGGCTTCTAGCTCCTGGTAAGCTAATGGTACTGCCCCCATTTATATTTTAAGAGGTAGGAACCTGGGGTTTGTTGACAAAATTCAGCAGGAGATAATACTTTTGGCCAATTTTGACTTTTCAGGATCTTTATTGCTGATCCTTTTTTTTTTTTTCCGAGACATGGTGCCTCTCTCTGTCACCCAGGCTGGAGTACAGTGGTGTAATCGTAGCTCACTGGAGCCTCAATCTCCCAGGCTCAACCAATCCTCCTGCCTCAGCCTCCCGAGTAGCTAGGACTATAGGCATGCACCACCAGACTTGATTAATTTTTTTTTTTTTTTTTACATTTTTTGTAGAGACAAGTTCTTACTATGTTGCCCAGGCTGGTCTCAAATTCTTTGCTAGCCTTAATCACTACCACTTTAAACCATGCACTTGTGTGCTTTGCATTTATCATCCCATCTGGTCCACATCAGCCTTCTGAGGAAGTCAGTGACAGAGATGACCCCATTTTGCAGATGAGAAGGCTGAGACTCAGCAAGGTTGGCTTATGTTTCCCAAGGTTTCCTAACTAGCACATTGTAGAGTTAACATTTAAATCAAAGTGTCTGACTCCCAAGCCTTTGCTATAATCTCATTAAATCCTGTCAAAACAGGCAACTGATGCAGTTTCCAACTTCTTATATACAGCTCTCTCCATAACTAACTTATCTGCAAACACATTTTTGAGCATGTTCAATGTGTAATCTTTGTCCATTGTTGAGGATACTAAAATATGTAGCAAGTGCCCTGGGACTAGTATGACTGAGCGGTGAGCCCTGACTGGGGAAATGAAAGTGTTTCATAGAGGTTGGTACATTTGAGCCTAGTGATAAAGGATGAGCAGGAGTTTGGTGGGCAAAAAAAAGGAAAGAGATGCTTTGTTTCTCTTTTAGACTCTACAAACATACCCAGTGTAGGAAGGGGAGCATATGGGATGCCAAATGGTGCTATTCTTGTGGTATACCCAGTTTGATGTCCCTAGAAAGGGCTTGTGAGCTCTATGGCGGGGTGGGTTGTGGGGAGTAACAAATAGATCCGCAGTAACACACACAGCAAGGAACAGAATGGGGAGCCTGGAATCTGCAAAGGGAGAGTAAGAAGCAATGGAGATGTGGCTTTGTATCTAGACTTTGGGGAAAAGAGATATGGGGAAGTAGATTATAAGGAAGGTAATTTAGGTCAAAACAACAGTGGAGGAGGGCTAAACTGAAGCAAAGACACTTAGGCAGAAGTTTGAGGGAGATTGCCCTGGTCTATCAGTCTTAATGGGGAAAAAGCTCACTGGCTTTCCCAAAGTGATATTAATGAGTAGCAAACCCCGAAAGTCCAGATAACAAACCATAGGAGGACTGTTAGGTAAAAGGTGGTGTATGATATGGTTTGAATGTATGTCCTTGCCCAAATCTCATGTTGAATTGTAATCCCCAGTGTTGGAGGTTGGGCCTGGTGGGAAGTGTTTGGATCATGGGATGGATCCCTCACGAATGGCTTGGGCCATCCCCTTGGTGATAAGTGAGCTCTCACTTTGAGTTCTCGCAAGATTTGGTCGTTTAATAGTGTGTAGCACCTCCCTGCCGCTCTCTCTGTCTCTTGCTCTGTTCTTGCCATGTGATGTGTCTGTTCCCCCTCTGCCTTCTGCCCCGATTGGAAGCTTCCTCAGGCCTCCCCAGAAGCAGATGCCAACATGCTTTCTGTACAGCCTGCAGAACCATGAGCCAACTAAATCTCTTTTCTTATAAGTTACCCAGTCTCAGGTATTTCTTTATAGCAATGCAAGAATGACCTAATATAGTATATTCACTCAATTGAATTTGATACAGCTGTTAAGAACAACTGCTTGGGAACATAAAAACTGCCAGCATTCAAATGGCACAGTACAACATTATATTCATACTCCAGGTATCCACAGGAACTGGAATATTTAAAATTGGAAGTGATTGTGTTGGTTGGGATAACTGTTTTTATTTTTCACAATTTAAAAGGAAGAGGTTATCTCAAAGTGATTTTTCTGAGGGTCTGTCATTACACTGAGAGTAGTAATAACCACCGTTTGTTGAATGCAGCCTGTGCATCAGACACTGTTCTGTTTCATGGATTATCTCATTCAGTCTTCACAGCAGCCACATCAGGTGAGTATGGTTATTGGGTGACGGTTGCTGAGGTCTCTTACCTAAGATTCCATGGGTAGAATTAGGATGTAAACCCAGGAAGCTGGACGTCAGAATTCATGCTTTTTACCTCTGTGTTATATACTGCTTCAGCTTAACTGTATCAAAAAGTCATTTTGGTATGAACAATCTTGCTAGGTTCAAGGTGGCCTAATGTCATTCTGAATTCTTCTCTAGGGAAACGATGTTGTAAAACTGCCCCCTGAAGAAAGCGTGGGGCCAGCAGGCATAACACAAGCCTGCACCTGAGGAAAGCTAGATTCATCATTTAGTTTCACTGTGGAATGGCCCAGCTAATTTGAGAAATTTCATGGAGCTCTTGCCTCCAAGAAATTATTTAATCTCTCTGCATACTGCAGTAGCTCCTTTTATATGCAGACCCCATGTATCAAGTAATTCTTAACAAGATGGACTTTTCTCTCTTAGTTGAGGTAAAGCAATCAATTACTGGCAATGGATTTAGAACCAGAGAGCATACACTTTAAAGAGTCCCAGGACAAACTCTGCTCAATATTGTTCCAAAAAGCTGTCTCAGGTGCACAAAGGCAAGCTCTGGCTGTATGCTACAATGAAGTGTTACTAGATGCTTTAAGATGTGGTCATTTGTGACAAAAGCAGAATCTTACATTCTGTGACTCTTTACAAGAATCTAACAGCACTTTCATAAATGTGATTTCAATTGGTCTTTGTTATGGGCTGAATTGTGTCCCCTGAAAGTTCAAATGTTGAAGTCCTAACCCCTAGCACCTCAGAATGTGTGTGGCCTTATTTAGAAATAGAGTTGTTGCAGACACATTTAGTGAAGATGAGGTCACACTGGAGTAGGGTGGGCCCCAAATCCAATAGAGCTGGTGTTCTTATTTGAAAAGGGAAATTTGGAGACAGACATGCAGGGAGAACGCTGTGTGGAGATGAAGGCAGAGATCTGGTGGTGCAGCAGAAGTCAAGGAACACCAAAGCCTGCCAACAAGCCTCCCGGAGCTGGGGAACAGGCCGGGAACAGATTCTCCCTCACGGCCCTCAGAGGGGACCAACCCTGATCTTGGACTTTGAGCCTCCAGAACTGTGAGAAAAATACATTCCTGTTGCTTAAGCCACTCAGTTTGTTGTGGCAGCCCTGGGAAATTAATGGAGTCTCCAAAAGCAGACTCTTGGGGTAGGTAAACTATTACTTTCTCCCTATTATATAAATCTAGTCAACACTTCATAAGTTCCTAAAAAGTATCAAGCACTATATAGGTAGGAACTCAATACTCACGACTCTCCTATGGGGTAAATGATTTGATTCTTCTCTCCCTTTTGTAGACAGAAACTAAGGCACAGAGAAATTAAATAAGCCGCCCTGGGTGCCCCAGTTAAGAAGCACTGAGGCCAGAATTGCTCGTAGATTTCTAGCTAAGTGCTCTTTTCACCATGCCATGTTGCCTTCGTGAAACACAAAAGCCTGGGAAAGGTATGCTTGTGGAAAGATGGAAACAAAATGACAAAGACATGCGGCTTGATAAGGAAGTGAAATGTGTGGGCAGGATGAGACGTGGGAATAGAAGCTGGTGACAGGAAAATAAAACTTCTGGGGACAAAATTTCCAAAATGTATTTCATGGAAAACCCTTGCCTTGAGATGCCACATGAAAAAAATGGTTCCGGACTTAAAGGGGGAAAACACTGCTGACTCTCCCACTCAGCGATTCACAGTGACATTCGCATTTCAAAGACTCTGACAAGTATTGCAGAAAAGAGCGAATATTTAGCTTTGTTTTACCCAGCATTCCTCAAACTTACTTAACCATTCTTTTACTCCTATTTATCTTTAATGTTTCCAAACAAGTTTTGTGGATTAGAGAGGTTAAGGAGACCCAGAGATGCCTATAGATAGGTGTTAACATTCTAACATTATTTAGGTTCTTCTTTCAGCCCCATTGTTTCTTTCTTTTTCAAAGCAAGACTCTTAAATATTCACTTATTTTAAAAAATTAACCATCAGACATACAAATAGCATATGGAGACTAATATCAGAAAAGCACTTACATTACATCACCCAGCTTAAGAAATATAACATTATGGATACGGTTGAGGCCTCCTGCGGACCTTTCCCTATTACCTTCTCTTCTTTATAACCCGACCTCCTCCCTAGAGGTGATTTGCAGTATTATCCTGAATTTTTACTTTATCATTCTATGTATATCCGTATGCTTTTTTTATACATGTGTATATTCTTAAGCAATATAGTGTGGTTTAATAGGGTCTTAAACTGTTACAATATTGCATATACCTTCTGTAACTTGCTTTTTATCCAACATTATACTTGTGAGCATTTTTCATGTGTGGCTATATTAGCTCTAGTTAATTCATTTTTACTGTAGTGTAATAGTCCCCTGTATGACTATGCCAGTATTATTTAGCTATACTTATGTATAGACATTTAGGATGTTTACCATTTTTCTATTACAGATAACACTGCAATATATATTCTCATGTATGAATTCAGAAAAATATGTGACACTTTCTCTAAGATATAGACTTGGAATTGCTGGGTTATAGGATATGTGCATATTCAACTTTCCTAGATATTACCAAATTGTTCTCCAAAGTAGTTGTGCTAATTTCAATTCCTACCCACTGTGTATGAGAGGTCCAGTGGCTCTATCTTAACTCTTGATATTGCCAACTTGCATAATCCTTGGCAAATTAAAAGATGTGAAATTATACTCTATTATTATTATTATTATTATTATTATTTGAGGTGGGGTCTCACTGTGTTGCCCAGGCTGGAGTGCAGTGGTGCAATCTTGCCTGACTGCAGCCTCTGCCTCCTGGGTTCAAGTGATTCTCCTGCCTCAGCCTCCAGAGTAGCTGGGATTACAGGTGCCCACCACCATGCCTGGCTAATTTTGTATTTTTAGTAGTGATGGGAGTTTCATCATGTTGGCTAGGCTTGTCTGGAACTCCTGACCTCAGGTGATCCATCTGCCTCGGCCTCCTAACATGCTGGGATTACAGGCCTGAGCCATCATGCTGGGCCTATTATGATTTTAATTTTCATTTGCCCAATAACTAACTAATGAGATTGAGCATTATATTATATGCTTATTGGCCATTTAGATTTCCTCTTCTGTGTATTTCCTCTTCCTTTGCACATTTATTTTTATTTTTTCTGTTAACTTATCTTTTTCTCATTAACTTTTGAAAGTTCTTTGTTAGTTCTCAATACTACCTTTTCTCAATTACTTGCTTTATAAATATCTTCCTGAAGACTGGAGCTTTCTTTTCACTTTTTGGAGTTTTTTTGCATAAAATGTTTAAATTGGCCAGGCACGGTGGCTCATGCCTGTAATCCCAGGACTTTGGGAGGCCGAGGAGGGCGGACCACGAGGTCAGGAGATGGAGACCATCCTGGCTAACATGGTGAAACCCCGTCTCTACTAAAAATACAAAAAATTAGCCGGGTGTGGTGGCGGTCACCTGTAGTCCCAGCTACTCGGGAGGCTGAGGCAGGAGAATGGCGTGAACCTGGGAGGCGGAGCTTGCAGTGAGCCTAGATCGCGCCACTGTACTCCAGCCTGGGCGACTGAGCAAGACTCTGTCTTAAAAAAAAAAAAAGGTTTAAATTATAATTTAATTCAATTTATCTGTGTTTTAATTAGAGTTTATACCTTTTGTATCTTGTTTAAGAAATCTTTCCCCACACTCAGGCTGTAGAGATACTCTAGTATATTGTTTTCTAAAAGTTTTAAAGTTTTGCCTTTTACATGTGTATCTTATAAACTTGAGATTAATGTTTGTGCATGATATGAGGGAAGGAACCATTTCCCCCATGACCCCTCCAATATGGAGAGCCTCTTGTTATAGAACCATTTGTTAAATAGTCTACCATTTTCCCCACAGAGACTTTGCAACACTATCTTTGTCATTATGATATTTTATTATCATACGAGTCTCTTTTGGGTCATAATACCATACCCTTATTCTGCTTATCTATTTCTACACCAGTATCATACTGAATTAGTTACTATAGCTTTATAATAAGTTGATTTCTGGTATGGTTGGTTAATTGCATTGTCAGATAAAATTAATGGCCTCCTTGGATCTATGCCCTTAGCAGTATAACTTTACAGCTCACACTATGAAGAAGTTGAGTCTCTTTCTCCATCCTTTGAATCGGGACTGAATTTGCTGCAAAGGATGTGATGGAAACGACAGTATCCCTGTTCCAGACATAGACCTCAAGGCCCTGCATGTTCCCACCTCTTTTGGAACTCTGCTTCCACTATGAGAATAAGCCCAGGTTAGTATGCTGAAATGTGCTGAAAGAACACATGAAGCAGGGGAGCCAATCCATGCTAAGACCATCCTAGACCGGCCAGTGCCCACCCAACCTACCAGCTGCTCATGTGAGTGACCAGAGTCAAAATAGCCACACTTGATTGAGAACACCATAACTGCAATGCCAACCTTATACTCATGGCTGGGCACAGTGGCTCATGCTCGTAATCCTAGCACTTTGGGAGGCTGACGTGGGCAGATCACGAGGTCAAGAGATTGAGACGATCCTGGCAAACGTGGTGAAACCCCATCTCTACTAACAATAGAAAAATTAACTGGGCATAGTGGTGTGTGCCTGTAGTCCCAGCTACTTGGGAGGCTGAGGCAGGAGAGTCGCTTGAACCCGGCAGGTGGAGGTTGCAATGAGCCAAGATTGCGTCACTGTACTCCAGCCTGGCAACAGAGCGAGACTCTATCTAAAAAAAAAGAAAAAGAAAAAAATAAGCCAAAATAAATGCTTATTGTGCTATGCTACTGGGGCTTTGTGGTGGTTTGTTCCACAGTATAATGATGTTAAAAGATGACTGAAATATAGGGCAAGTCCCATAACTTATTCTGCTTTTCAAAACCATCTTAGTTGATCATGGTCTTATGTGTTTCCACATATGCATTTTAGATTTGGTTTGTCAAATTCCACGGCCTGG